TACTTGCAAATATAATCTATGCTATTGTTAGTAATATTTGAGGGTCAAAGAAGCACATCAGGCGCTCGGGAACCCTACAAACGCGCGGGTGAGGTAACCAGATATCTACCCGAGGGACTGTAAATGCCAAGGCTATGGACTGTGGATTTCGCCAGCGGAAATCGCGTCGTGACGCGATTTGGCGCGGGCGCGCGCCAAAATCGACCCCCTCCTCAGCTAGGTTCGGGTCGGGAAATTCACAGTCCCAACCGCGGCATCACAGTCCACTCGGCACCCAGATCTGTGGCTTGCCCCGAGCTTTAGCTGACCTACTTGCTTGCTCCTGGTATTTATTCCTTACTTAGCTGCACTGTACCGTAGCTGCACATGTACTATAGTTCAAATAAATTTTATTCCGAATTTTCTACCCTACCGTACCCTCATGGAGGAGGCTGCATCTGCCCGCCTCCCGAGCTTGACTTGCAGCGGTGGCGGGAGTTGCTTATGTAATCCGATTAAGACCGTAAACTTTCCTATGATCAGATTCACTTATTCCGCTGGCTTTACGCTTTTCATGCCTTATTAGGCAGGTGGAGCTCGGCGGTTCCCGGGTATTCCCACGCCTCGCGCGACGCGTCGACGTGTCGCCTTTCCTCCTCGTGCCCCGGCGGCGGCACCTCCCCCGGGGTGTTTTTGCTCTCCTGTAGTGGATAGAAGTTGTTGCATAATACAAAAATGCGTGTAACTACTGATAATGTACTCAAAAAGTCGTTCTATGTAGTCAGTTTAGCCCCCAAGAGCCGGGGAGGCATCCTGCAAGCGGAAAAGCACTCATTTTACCGCATAAGTGCTCGAAAGCGCGGCATAAGCAGCATCAGCATTTATTTCGGTGGATTTACGCCGATTTACAGGATTTACGGCCACATGATGCGTGGATTTACGGGCACGTCACGCCCTCCGTACAATTATGCTTGTCAAAGTGCACAAATATTCCACCCCCGGAATTTTTGTGTTTCCCCCCGGTAATTCGTGTCTCCCCCCGGTATTTGAGGGTGGCGGTGCATTACGACTGCCATATGTGGCTGCGCCACAGGTGGCAGTGCTACAAGCTATCCATATACAGTGCGAGTGTCTCACAGTCACTCGCGTGCCCTGTGGCGGAGTGTGCCGACGATGCCTGTCACGGCGGGCAAAGCAAGTGTCGAATCGCGCGGTGGCGCAGAAATTCAACATCATGTCGACTCACCTGTCGAGTTCCCCTCGGCAAATGCTATCCGAGATGCCGCGGCACAGTGCGCACAGCCACAGGTGCCCGAGTTGCATGTCTATAGTGTATATACTTACCCCTCGGACGCTCATTCTCTTATGGGGGAATGACTTGTATACACCCTCGCAACTCATCTGTATACAAGCCAGAGCTTAGAGTCCCATCCGAAAGCCTCCGGGCATGAGTCTGGCATGGCCGAGCCTCGATACGGCAAATGCCGAGTATGTCAGTTCGCATTCAACACGCCTTCGAAAGCCTAAAGGCGGTCGGATATTAGTGATTTTTGGACTGTCCTTGACGACAGTCTCATTTCTTTGCCTGAGCTTGCAATGTCCAAAGACTAGTCAACATGTCGCAAACCCCTCACACCTATCCCCCTCAAGCCCCCGATCCAATTGCGGCTCACATAGAACGGACTGTCCAAGCGGAAATTGTGAAGATACAACAACAGTATGCACAGCTGCGAGAAGCCGAACAACAGGAGAAAGCCCAGCGCGAAGCAGCTTTCCGAGAAGAGCTGACCCAGCGCGAATTAGCTTTCAATGCAGAGTGGGAGCGGATAGCAGCTGAGCAAGCTCGACAGTACGAAGCCATGCGTGCGGAGGCTGCGCGTGTCACTGCTGCATATCAGGCTGAAATAGACAACTTGCGGAGTCAGCTCGCGGCGACGGAGATACAGTATGTGTATTCTAGTAGTGAAGGCCTCTCATGGGATATGCTGATATGTTGCCAGGTCAGGTGCTCGAGAAGACGCTGACGTTGTAATGCACGGCAGCCCCACTAGGGGACGTAGGTCGCGTTCGCCCACCAAGGGTAAAACTAAAGCAAAGCGCAATGGGGATCTACATAAGCCCCAACCTACTGCTAAGCGCCAGCGAGGTGCTTCAGGTCCTATTACCGAGGGCTTTCGACGGTCTGTATCTCCAGAGAAGCAAGCCGATACTTTTCGATGCTCTAGCACTCCTGCAAAACAGCTTACCGGGACTCGGCGCTCAGTATCTCCAGAAAAGAGGGTTCGTAAAGGTCCCTCCAGGCGCTCGAAGTCACCCGTAAAGAAGAGCTCAGAAGTTAATCGGGTTTTAATGTCAGAACTACCGGATGATATTGCAGGGTTTAAGGTGTGTATCCGACTGGTGATTTTGACAGCCTCATTGCTCATTTGGATTAGCGTGCGTTATACGCTCACATCCGTATCTTGTGGCGCCTTGAACGAGGCATGGTCCCGAAACTCCCGCCAACCAACATTTTAACCGACTTTCAAGCACGCTTTAGCCCTGGACAAAACTTGGCAGCTATTGCATTGGCTGGTCCTCCGCTCTTGGATTCTTCCCTTGTTGAAGTTGCTCATACTCTCCGATTTGGAGCACGTGGGCTGGCGGAAGCACCGTGGCTGCTGCAAATTGATGATGCCATCCTCCAGTACTATCAAGTTTGTATCTCACGCTTTGGACTTCCGTGCTGGAACCCCGATCTCCGCCAAACTGCATATTCCCCCTATAATCCAGCCTGTCGCATGATCGCCATCACGACCTTCCAGCAGGGCCTCATGGCAAAGGCGTACAATCAATTTGGTCCGAATCCAAAATACGCGTTGAACACGATGACTATCTTAAGGCTCTATGACCATTTTGTACATCATTACCAGCAGAAGCGCTTCGTCAAGGAGCAGAAGTCGCCAGGCAGCGTAGCTACAACGGAGGCTCGTAAGACAGCATATAAGAATCGAGAACGTGTAAAGATCATGCTGACCTCGTGCTTGCTATACTTACTTACTTTTTTTTCTTGCATAGCTGGCCGCTTCTAGGGCAAAGTTTGCGAAGGAATACAACCTCCCACGTCGATATATCGATATCGTGTCTGATGTCAAGGCCACCTCTGATGATGAGCGGGATCCGGTCACCAGCGACTATGCCATCAAGCGCAGGCCGGAGCGTTCTGCAGCCGCAAATGCCTTCTTCCGCCGTTTCGATGCTTACAAAGAGCAGACATTGAAGCTCTCTCGACGTGGGGGGCAAAGGGATCGTAAGCGCTTTTTGCCTGAAAATCCCGAGGATACACCATTCCCAAGTTTGTCTACGACAATGCCTCTCGACTACTTTAATCCGGAATTCTATAATCAGCTTCTCCCTGGCCTCCGACTCAAGATCACGAATCGGACACTGGCGTTCCCACCGGATGCCCGTGATATCCTCTCGCCGGCCACTAACTTCGAGGCCGAGGCGGCGTCTAGCGAAGAGCTAGTTGAAAGATTTGGTGGAGAGATATTCGCGCGGTACAAGATCCCGGATGAGAGTGTCATTGATGAGGACTGGTCGGACTCCGGTGATGAGGAGCTTGAACCGGATGAGGACGAAGAGGATGAGTTGCTTGGCGACGATGAAGATGAAGATTATGATGTTCTTGCGGAACGACAGAAATTTGCTGAAATGGTCAATAGTGAGCGGCAGTAATATTGGTATGAGTCACCTATAGAATAGCATACATTCTCGTTTAGAATATTGTACATAGTCTTGCATAAAAGTACATAGTTTTGCATATACAAGAAAGACCACTTCTAATCAGATTTATGCGGCGGCTTGGACTCGTGATCATTGAGCGTGTATGTGAAGACCGATAGTGGCACAGTTACCTGCTGTCCAGTACGTCTTTCGCTGTCCAGCACTCTCACCATCGACTATGGCTTCAACACCGCCCAATCGTGTGCTCTGTGTATGTACAAAATGCCGACAATCCTCGCACCAGGACCAGGATGGGAAATTGTTACCAGGTGTTCTTGTTCACCCAGGAACTCGCCGTGCACATCTTAAACTGGATGCTGACATGAAGTTATCCATGGGCGTTGCTGGCTCCGGGTCAACGCCGCATGAAGCAGTGCCAAGACCTGACCATCATGGTGATGTACATGTACGTACCTTCTGCTTGACCGATGAAAAGAAATTCACTCAAGTTGCAACTGCTCCCTAATGAGCAGCAGCGTGCCACTCACACTATTACCGCTGCTGCCCAGGCCACAGAGGATACAGATGTCTTCATGGAAGACATCAACTTGAAGGAAGAGAGCTCGGATACAGACACCGTCATGGCTGATGACGGAGATGGTAAGTCTGGAGCTTGTTGATTCCACATCTCTCTTGATGATTATCGCTGTACTGTAGCATCACAATTCCAAGAACAGGCCTCTGCTATCATGACACTCGCTTTGGTCCTTGCAAGTTGGCTCCATTTATGCTGTGGTCTCAGCCGAGAGGCATCGTCACGTGTCCTGAAGGTCGTTCATGCCATTATCACTTTGACATTCCAGCTTGCGCGCCTTTTCCATATCACCTCTCGTGCTGATAGTGACACATCTTCTATGGATATCGACATGAAGCATGATGTGCGTACTGCCATGTCCAACCTCTCTATAGAGCCTATCCTCCACCGCTCAGTCTGCTGTCCGAAATGTTTTGCGCAGTACTCCATTCAAGACTGTCCTGACATCTGTCCCCGGCGTGAGACCCGGCGGAGCAAGCCTTGTGGGGAGGTTCTCTGGACTATCCGTCACGGGAGCAATGGTGGCCCCATTCGGTGTCCACGCCGTCTCTACTCCACACAGTCATTTGAATCATGGCTGACTTGGTTCCTCTCTCGTCCGGGTATTGAAGATATCATTGATGAGTCTTACGCCCATGTACCATCCGGAGATACTATGCATTCTATCCGCGACAGTCCCGCTTGGAAAAGCTTTGGTTCCTTCACCTCCACGCGTGGCAACCTTGTCTTCAGTTACTACATTGACTGGTTCAATCCTCTGACAAATAAGATTGCCGGCAAGAAGGTATCTGCAGGAGCGATAATGCTATTCTGCATGAATCTCCCGGAGCACCTGCAGTGGTTACCTGAGAATACCTTCTTTGCTGGCATTACACCTCCCCCCAATGAACCGACAGTCACGACAATAACAAATATTGCTGACCCAGTTATTGACCAACTTGCGGAGTTCTACACAGGCAAGAAAATACCAACTTATCGTTATCCGATGGGCTTCTTCACCCGAGTTGGAGTAATGCCTTTCATCGCAGACCTGATCGCTATCCGGAAAGCAGGAGCAGGAGGCTTTGCATCGCACAGCGCCGAGCTCTTCTGCTCCTTCTGCACGTGCCTCCGAAGTCAACTCGAGTGTCTGGACCCTACTCAATGGCGGCCTCGTACCGGGCTTGAAGTTCGAACTGCTGCTTGGCGCTGGCATGACGCCCAGACTAAAACTGCGAAGAAAGAAATCTTTGCTGAGACCGGGGTGCGGTGGTCATCACTGCATAAGCTCTCTTATCGGGATCCTGTTCGGCATACAGTTCTTGGTGTTATGCATAACTGGATGGAAGGTGTCTTGCAGCACCATGCCCGCAGGAAGTGGGGTATCGGTATTGAGCCTGGGTCAAGCAAAGATGAAGATGACAGTATGCTAGCCTCTGCATCAGACATCAATCAGGAAGCCTCCGACGCAGATGCTATGGATATTGACATGTCAGAGCTGGGTGTTGAGGTTGAGGAGCTGATGAAGGACAGCATCGAGCATAACGACATTCCTTCATCACAGAGGCGCCGAACTCCAGCAGTCAACTTCCAGATGGACAGCAGTGGCGAGGAGAGTGGAGATGATGACTTCCTGCAGGCTGATGATGAATCGGAGAGTGATGATTCAGACGATGAAGATACAAAGAATGATACGGGACCGGGACCTACCTGTATTTTCAGCACACTTGAGCTTGGGAGAATCCGGGCATGCATTAGCGACACAGTGATTCCGACATGGGTGGACCGTCCACCGGTTAATCTTGGTGACAAATCTCATGGAAAACTTAAGGCTGATAACTGGTTCATACTCTTCTCTGTCATGCTTCCGATGGTGCTCGTAGAACTCTGGTGGTCAACCAACAACCACCGGGACGCACAACTCTTAGAGAATTTCTATGATCTGGTGACATGCACAAATATCATTGGGTCATTCTCCACAAGCAATGACAAGGCCGACACATACCATGCACATTATATCCGTTACCGGTCTTCACTTCGCCAGTTGTTTCCGCGCTCGAATTCAGTCCCAAATCATCACTATGCAATGCACAATGCCGAGTTGCTCAAGTTTTGGGGCCCACTGATGAAGATAAGTGAATTTCCATATGAGCGTAGCAATGGTCGCCTGCAAAAGATCAAGACAAATGGACATATTTGTGAGTACGTTGCACTGGATAACTATGTGCGCTGACAAAGGTTATGCACAGACGATCTTGACTATACTATGCTACGGCAAATATGCCGACGCGGTCGTCTAACGGCGAAGATCCAAGATGCCATCCATATCGGTGATCCACTAGGGAAGGTGTATGAGTTGTTGATGCCTCGCACAATCTCCACACCATCCTCAACTGATGCCGATGAGCGGTATCTTAGGCTAATTCAGGTGCACGGGAAAGGAGATAAACTCGACCCACTGATTTATCAACTCATGCTTGATCACCTGAATATGACAGGCTCTGCTGCCGTGCGCCATTATCAAAACCTACCACATCCCATCGGTGCCACGGTCCTGTCTCCTAGTGGTCTTCGGGAACGGCACTTCAAGCACAAGGACCGGGATTTCTCAGATTGGACAACGCACGAGGGCAACAGTTCTGTAATCTATCGGTTACCAAGCGGAGAGCAGGGCGCTGGATTCATCGACACAATCTGGTCGGTGATGGTAGGACACGATGCACGTCTCTTACTTGTGATAGCCCCGCATGAACAGTTGTCCAATAGGGACCTCAGGCGAAGTCCCTTTGCGACAATGCCTGGGTTCTTGAATCAGCTGGTATATGCCCACTCGTCGTCCCATCGAGTGGTCATGCAACCAGACTCTATCGTTACGCACGCTGCGTTGCGACGGCGACCAGCACGGACTTTCGGAATATCCAAAGCTACAATGATTGTGCACGATCTGAGCCGGGGTCGGAAGTAGTATATTGACTACATACCGTACATTATGTATGGCTACCGTCGGAAATGATTGAATTTAACACTATCTAAGATGAGCTTGATACTATAGTGATGGGAGAGAAACGTGCCCCGTACCGCACAGTGTAATCACAACCCTCACCTCACCAATCAGGACATCCTCGGAGTCCGTACCAGTGCATTTTGCTCCCTCTCTGAACTAAATCCCCTGAGATATTTCACCTCTGCTAGGCTTCGAGAACATATGAAGCAGCGAAACACGAGCATGACGCGTGCATTGAGAGGGAGGAACAGGGTGACATCATCGGAGACAGACGGATGAGTGTTGCATAGTCAGAGCTGATGTAACATAGTCGAAACTGCAATACAGATGTACCTTCAATCGAATCCTCCATCTCATAGGGTGGCGGAGGAATGTGCGAGGGAGGAGGCGGAGGAGAGGAGGAGGGACGGGAGCGAGCGCAGGAGGGACGGGAGCCAGATGAGGAACGGGATGAGGTGCGTGTAGATGTTGACTGCCGGAGGGGTTAGATGGGCATACAGGAGAGGCAGCGAGGGACTCACGAGTCTCGTTGTGCAGCGCGAAGAGCGAGAGCACGATCAGCAGCCACCACGGAATAGACCTGGTACAAATCAACATTTGAACACAATACAACAGAACGACCACTCACCGATACCCGCCGCGCACAAACTCGTTTTTTCCTCCACTGCGCGGGCAAGTCTGCGTACCGAATGAGCTTGCTCCCATTGAACAACCACCGAATCGCGTCCCTGACCTCGCGCGCCGCTCAGCCGACAGCATCCTCCATCTCCCCGACCCGCTCGACGACGATGCTGGAGAGGTGGGAGAGCATGTCGAGGATGGCAGCGGACGGGTGGATGGAGGAGGCGGCGGCGAGGTGGTCTAGCATTCTCTGAACCCACTTCTTGCTCTCCTGATAGCGTCTTGAGTCATGCGAACGAAGTATCGTAGGTTAAGGGAAAGTCATCACCGGTGGTAACGATCACTCAGTCGACTCGTAGAGGACCTCATATGCGCCCAACGCGGGAGGGAGGACACTGTTCACATTCGTAGTCGGCCGACGGGGACGACAGTCCTGACGAGTTTGCGAACATTGACCGGTATCGTAAGACTGACGCTGCCACACAAGTTAAGTAAGCGGTGTTGGAGGTTAAGCAAATCCAGAATGCTTACAAGAAAACAGCAGAGCATGAGTAAGGGCTGGGCAAATAACGGGAGACGAGGTGTTGGTGCCGAGTTGAACTGCAGATTTTCTTCTCCCGAGTTTCGCCGTTTATAAGATGCTTGGTGTCAAGCTATGGTCTTGAGAGACCTTTTAGTACAGTTGATCTAAGCATTGAAATACTGAAGTGCAGCTAGAATATGTTTCATTAAGCACATCGCGGGTATCGTGAGGAGCTCTGCACGGCGCTGCCGTGCGTGGCTAAGCTTGAGCTTCGGGCGTGCAAGATTGATGCCCGGAGGCTCTCGGATGGATGTCTAAGCTCTGGCTCGGACGCAGATGGGTTTCTATGGTTTATACGAATCATTCCCCCTAGAGACATTGAGCGTCCGAGGGGTAAGTGTGCACTTTATAAACGCAACACCGTATGCACCGAATACCGGTGGCAGTGCACTCGGTACAATGCCGCGGCATCTCGGATAGCACTGCCGCGTGAATTCGACAGGTGCTTCGACATGCTGTCGAATTTCTGCGCCGCCGCGCGATTCGACACATCCTTTGCCCGCCGTGTGTGCCCTCAGCCACAGCGATGCCAGCGAGCCGTCGCAGGCCATCGCTGACATCGCTCTCGACCCAGATGGTAATATGATAGAATGCTAGATTGATGTATTATGCTATTAACAGCAGTATGGATGCTTTCCAACTCTATGAAGGATTGTGGTTGGGATGGCAAACACCATTGATTTTTCTGGGGGTGTTTTGATTTATATAAACTTCCTTGCATGTACAGCTCCAGAATTGCAGGAAAAAACTCCCAACAGAATTAAAATGAGAATATCATTGTGTAAGTGTTGTGACATCGACCTCTGGGTCGAGAGCGACGTCAGCGATGGCCTGCGACGGCTCGCTGGCATCGCTGTGGCTGAGGGCACAGGCATCATCGGCACACTCCGCCACAGGGCACGCGAGTGACTGTGAGACACTCGCACTGTATATGGATAGCTTGTAGCACTGCCACATGTGGCGCAGCCACATATGGCAGTCGTATTGCACCGCCACCCTCAAATACCGGGGGGAGACACGAATTACCGGGGGAAAACACAGAAATTCCGGGGGTGGAATATTTGTGCACTTTGACAAGCATATACAATCACATCAAGCCGCCGCCGCTTCGCGCGGCGTTCCCGAGCGCTTCTCCCCATCAAACCCCGAGAGCTTTGGCGCCCTTGTCGGGATATTCATTTCGGGACCCCAGGACGCGTGGCGAATAATTAGAACACGTCTGACGCGTTGAGGACCCACGTGCTCCTCGTCAAATAGCATTATTTCTCATATTTAGAGCCTCTGTATCTAGTAAGAATGATTATGTACAGTATACTGCTTGTATTCACCATGAATCTGACACCCCTCGGGACCTTGCAATGCGGTGGGACTACAATCTTCGCGCTGTACCCACTACCTTGGGCCATCAGCCACCGTTGACCCCGGGTCACGGTAGGGTCGATTTACGTGGATTTACAGTACCTCACGTAAACTAAGCCAAATATCTGTACTTATTATAAGTCGTCGAACATCCCCGATCCAGTTATACAAAACAATACTTGAAAGGGAGATCTACCCATTGTGCCTCCCTTTTCGTTCAAATTATTGAGTACTCAGGTCATGGATGCAAGCCAGGCCTTGTGAACCGTTTTCGAGTCTTCGTTTAGAAGACTGGCGATGTCCCACGCGAGGAGGCAGGCACGCATGAACAATGGCAAGGCGGTAGTGCACGATTCCTTAGCTATTGTTGTATTGAACCCCGTCTTTTGCTCACAGCCATTCATAATCGCAGACTCGGACTTTTTGCCTTGTGGTGTGCAGAACACAAGACCGTGCATTGCATTGATACAGTGGCAATCGTTCTATGCGTTCTCGGATTCCAAATAGCAGACACTCATCGAAGTCATCCAGAGATCTATGCCTTGTGCCAGTGTATCGGCGAAGACGTGAACTGTCTTACCCTCTGCATTGACCTTACGGGTAAATTCAGCAATATCAAGCATCATGCTAGTAATGCTATGATCTTGTCCGAAGAAGCATCATCATAATTTGAACAAGAACACATCATGCCCCGGTGCCCGAGGAACCAGAAGTTCCACTTGTATTGTCTCGTGTGAGCATCCAGCATTGTTTATTTTGCATTCCAGGAACGAGCCTGAAATCGCGGGTCATCACAGGATCGATATCAAAGCATATTGTTTGTGAACAATGCCAGATTGTGGCAGGCAGAGAAGTGGCTTGTCGAGGCTCCAGACCACCTCCTGACACCGATGATTCGCCAAGATAATCAGGACTATTACACTAATGAACTGGCACATTGCAGCGATGATAGTTGGTTCATTCCGACGCGATTCTTCGAACACGCTGGCCAAATGATGGCAGTCGGACACGATGCCATTCCTTCCTCGGTACGTTACTCATTTGTCTCTCGATATGATTGCAGCAATGATGTGCGATGCGTGCATCTGCGCTATTAGAATGGCTTAATAGTGGTCGAACAAAAGAGTGTCAAGGATTGTAAACTTTTCACAGATAATTGGCCGCAGATTGAAGACAGATACCAAACAGCTGAGCTATTTGCGGGTGCGTATGATCACTGGGGTTATTTGCAACACTACAACTTATGGCATCTCCAGATGTATCAAAGTCCTATGCTGCGATGATGCCGAACCCGGACCGTGAGACCGCAGGCGGTCTCGAGTGGGAGTGTCCACCTATTGTGGTTTTCATTGACGATGTGTCAGGTAACAGCACCACTCAGTGGAACGTTCACTATTCTTGTTATATGTCGAATGGGGGGCTGCCACGCTCCGCAGTGAGCAGGAGGTTA